CTCTCTCTCTCTCTCTCTCTCTCTCTCGTGTGGCCAGCGTCTGAACGTGGATGTGGAGTCCAGCGTCGAGTGCCGATTTGAACGGGCCACGCGCGTCATTTGTAACCGATGCGCGCAGTCGGGCCCCAGTCAGGCTTTTTTTTTTTTTTTTTCGGGACACGGGTCGATCCCTATCAGCGCCCAGGTGGGTCGTCAGGACCTGCCACCCCGACCCAGCGCACCCGACGGGCCTCTGGCCCTCCGATGCACAGGTGACGCTCTACTCGTTTGCGTTCAGAGCGTTCACCTGCGTTCTTTGAACGCGCGTTCAACGCATTCAAAAATTGAACGCGGAACCCGCGTTCAACGAACGCGCGGCAGCACAGGAGGGGGGAAGTGTTGCGCGCAGGTGTGTGCTGAAGGAGAGCGCACAGAGGAAATGTTGTCGTCTCACTTGCTGTGTAGTATGGAACAACTTGAGCAAGTGAGTGGGAGACGGGCGGTTGAACAACTTGAACTGAATGACCATGAGGGAGAGGGAGTTTACAGGAGGTGAGATCAAGTAGTGGGGTGTTCTGAGTGGGGGCACTTGCGGGTTGTGTTGTGACCAGGGGGGGGATTGGGAAGTTGGAATGTGACGTTCTAACCTCACGCCCTGTGCTGTCTTCCGGTCGGAGAGAGAAAATGTGCGGAGCGGGCTCTGGAAAAACAGCAAGTACGGGTGTGCCGAGGAATTTTGGAAAAATTAAGTGTGGGGACACAGATAGAACTGAAATCCCCCATGTGGTTCAAGTTTTAGTGAGAAGGGACTATGGCCGCGCGAATGAATTGGCGGGCCTCTCTTTCCAACTTTGGTCTAATCAAAAAAGTATCTCTGAACTTTCATGCGGGCTACTCGTTGTTTTTTCGAATGGAAAGGCGGGGGTACGAACGTGGGATCTCGTTTTCGAATTAAATCCCGCCGCCTCTCGTTACAGACTTCGGAATCCGACGTGGAGGGTCTCAGCCGGGTTGCTCTTTCATTGTAATATTTGTCCTCGCCACGTGTTCGGTAATGGAACCCCTTTTTCCCATAACCCTCTGTGCGGCGACAATCCGTACACATAGTGTTGGGCCAATGAGGCACCATTGTCGCCCATGGATTGACTATCAGTTCTTTAAAAGGTAATAATAAAGAGTACAGGGGAAAGTAGGTATGGATAATAACAAAACCAGCACCTACGAATCCCGAGCACTTTGTTTCGGGAGGAAAACAATAGGCTAAGCGTCCACCGATCTTTGCGACGACTTCTCATACATCCCACTCACATACACGTGTTCTTTCCTCGTTATAGGGGACCGAACGTGATGCGGGTATGGGAAATCAACACCCCGTCGGATCAGCACAATCAGTCACTCACATACATGTGTTATTTCCTCGTTATATGAAACAAATGTGATAGGGGTACGGGAAGTCTACACCCCGTCGGATCAGGACAATGTCCACATGGCCTTAGCAAACTAACCACGTAAATCCACTCAACCCGTTACCTCATGAAAACGATCACAACACTACATGCCCATCACCTTTTAATAGGCTTTTATCAATCATGCAAACTCATCTTAAAATGTAAGTTCATTCCAAACAGCGAAACAATCACCACTCATAGAGCGAGTCGAGAGCATGCATCAGCCGAATCCTAGCTTAGTCCGATCACCTTAAGGTTAATTCAATAAATGCATATATGTAACAGATCTCACAAACACGAATCATAGGTTGTCAAGAGACACATCAAGAAAAAGTTGGTAAAGCCTGGTAAGATCACCTAGGTTGAAATGCTACGGTACTCGTTCATGCGGGATCCAATTGAATTGAAAAGGGACGAGCGAGACTGGGGAATCATCGGATCATTTTGGCATCCACGAAGAGCACAAAAGCAGAGGAACGAGAGAGAGAGAAACAGTCATCTTTCATCAATCATGCAAATCGATCTTAAAATGTAAGTTCATTCCCAACAGTGAGACAATCACCACCCATAGAGCGAGTCAAGAGCATGCATCAACAGAATCCTAGGTTAGTTCGATCAGCTTAATGTTAGTTCAATAGATGCATATATGTAACAAATCTCACATACACCAATCCTAAGTTGTCAAGAGACACATCAAGAAAACGTTGGCACCCGGGTTTATGAGTCCCTTAAATTCAACGGTACTCGTTATTGAGTCGTTAATGCGGGATCCAATTAAATTGAACAGGGACGAGGAAGACTAGGGAATCATCAGATCATTCTGGCATCCATGAGGTGACCGGAAGCAAAGGAACGAGAGAGAGATAGAGGGAGATAAGGACGGAATCGTACTTGTAGCTTGACCGAAGAAGGGGACTAATAAAAGATAGAGAACTTTAGTCACACAGACAAGCTTGAGGGGAAACAACCAGCGATTTAGCTTTCAAGGAAAAGAAGAGGAATTGAAGATCAAGGCACACCGGCCTTCTACTCTTTGATTATGGCCCATGACCATGCAACCACTCGTACACACACCCCCTTCTCACTCGGGTACTGACGATCCCGGTCGCTATGTACCAACCTCCATACCACAACGATCATCACCCCGCCAACGCAGTTAGGCACGAACTTGCCCAGATTTTGCAGTTCGTCGCGGCCACCCGGCACACAGCCTTGCATACACTGCAGTCATCTCGTCGGGACTTTCCGACCCGCTGTCATGCACATCACCTAGCCACGAAGAGGGAGTAGAGGTTAGTTGTTAGTACAAAGCCATATCGATCCTCACGAGTTTCATCGCATCGCCAATCAGATCACGGTGTGAGGGGCGTATCTTACTTACACGCTGTGGTATGAGGTTTCGAACACTCTGGGGAGGAAATCGGTAGGGAGTTCTTGACAAAGGATGAAGGCGGAAAGAAGGAAAGTGCGGTGAGTGGTGTGGGCGGGACTAAGATTCAAACGAGGCGGGGGCTAGGGAGAAATACGAAGAGGGAGAGGGGATGAAAAATAGTTACGAGTGAAGGAGAGAAGGGGCGAAGAGGAGAACGGTGAAGATTGCATGGGTCATAGCAGGAAGCGGGGAAAGCTTGGGTGCATGGTGTCGACGTAGAAAAAAAACACCTAAAACGGTCCATCCTAATTTTCAAGCTAATTCAAGATTAAAAAATTCAAAGGCAATGTCGATGCGCGGGATCGAGCCTGCGAAAATCCTACGTCTATTCAATTTCCTACTAAAGAATCACCAAGCTTTCAAAGGCAAATGTCGGAACATCCACTTGCAAGAAAGGAGACGTAAGCGGGAAGTGAGTCCGACGTCCGTAAATTTCTAAGTTCCCAACTGACGAACCAAATTCCTAGCGCGCTCGCTGAGGCGTGTGTAATTCCTATGTAGATGCATGGATTGCCAAAGATGTCTGAAAAATAAAGAAAAACAACATTTTAACCGTGAGAGGGCCTTGTCGGCCTTTAATCCTTGTATCAAGGTGATAGCAACAAAAAAGAGGGGTACCCCCAAAAACTTATAAAAAACTACGTGAGAAGTGAGGGCCTCAAAAGGTCGTGCAGGTACAAAAGTTGGTATGTCACATATGTGACATGCAAGGGGTTCCAAAATTATGCTATCTCTTGATTGCATGGGAGAAAGACAAAAAAGATTAGGGTTCATAGAGAGAAGGGGAAGGGAGACGATGATGAACCCAGGGTATCAACGAGCATAGAAAAGAAAAAACACATCACATCATAGCGGCATTGCTAATAAGAGAGAAGCTCATCATGGCGACGTGGACTTA